TAAAAGCTGTGAATTTTTTGTCTTCCTCACACATTGGGATGTTATAGAACCCGGACGTGAGGTCCATAGCACTAAACAATATATTTCCTCCCAAAGCAGCAAGGCAATCGGCTTGATGAGGAAGAGGGTGAGCGTCTTTTGTAGTGCGTGAATTCAGCCAACGGTAATCAACACAAATTCTGAGGTCACCACTTTTCTTCCACACAAGTACTAGAGGAGAGGCCCACTCGCTGTTGGACTTGCGAATGATATCTCTCTCTTCCATTTCAGATAAAGCCTGTCGTAGTTTCTGGTAATGCCCTGGTGGCACACGCCGGTATGGCAACCGGAAAGGTCGGCTGTCAGAAAGATGGATACGGTGTACAAAGTCTTTTGCTGTCCCGCAGTCTAGCTTGTGCTTTGAAAACACATGTTCGTATTTCTGAATTAAACACAGCAGATTATTTTTACACTGGGTTGATACTTCACAAGAGTCAACATCCAAATCGCTTAATCCCATCTCCAGCAAGGCATCATTCAAATCTGGTTTGAGTGTTTTATCATGCACAGTCTGGCTCTGAATTTTGACAGTTTCGGGGGGACATTTGATATCAGTGTCTAAATCCTCCAATGCAACACAGGGTGAAACGTTGGCCACTTTAGAGTTTCGTCTCAGAGTGATGGGTTTGTCATATGGGTTCAACATACGAATTGGGACCCACCGGTCAGCAGTCATAGAAACCACCACACGTCCTACAATGATGTCTTTCTTATGCGTAGGTGACTTGGTAGGTTCAATCAACACAGCGCTGCCTTCTGAAATAGGAGCTGTAGGGGGCAGTCTAGCCCAAACCAGATGCTCCTGTTTGGGTAACAGTGTAACAGCCTGGGCCAGTTTTGCAGTTCCAATGACATCAGGCATCTCAGCACCCCTCCATCTGTTGAGGCCAGAAAGGATATTGAGGAATTGCTCGATTTCAGCATCTTGTGTTGATTCAGGCCTATTCATAACACGCCAATAAGTGGGGTTCTGCTTAAGCTGACTCAGGATAAATTTAAGAACGTTGGTGCCCAATATCAACTCATCCCGCTGTCCTTTAACAACCATTGTTGGCACACTGACAACATACTCATACACTCTGATCGTCAGCTGGTACATACACTTTGGTGCGACCTGAACTCCACCACATCCGACTAGCATAACATTAGCCTGCATCTCACATGGGTCTAGAGACACCCCAGCATCAAGTAGACGAGATTCAGCGAGTTCACTAATGGTACAAGCCATAGAGCCACTGTCTATCAACGCTCGTACAGGAACAGCATCATTGACTAGAACATCAGTGTAGAAAAGGCTGTCTGCATGTGCTAACTTGGTTACATTTTGAAACAAAATCACATCATCACTCTTCATTGACTTGCAAGTTGCCTCATATATGCTAGATGCATCATCTTGGAGGGTCTGAATTTCTTCACCCGCACTATCCCCTCCACAGTGCGGGTGTATCAGTTTCCCTGAATCTGGGAGTGGCCTCCGCTCTCAGCACTCCTCCTAGGACAGGACCTGCGCTGATGGCCAACGTCAAGACAATTAAGGCATCTTTTCTCTGACATGCAGTGTGACCGTGTAGAATGAGTTCTCTCACCACAGACACGACATCTAGATGGTCGGGACCAAGAGGGCGACTGAGATCTATCAGGAGTAGTCTGTACATTAGTGCGTTCAAGCACTCTCTCCAGCATGCTCAGTACTCGTTCCAATGTACCAGTGTCAGTCGAAGCAACGTGTGGGGATGCTGTGGTGATCTCAGGTTTGACATTCTGATTATTGGAAATGCACGCTGCTGCATTTACTGCAGTGTTTTCCACAATGGGTGTTTCTGTGTTGCTGACAGTAATATTGGATACTTTAAATGAATGGTCAGATTGAGGGTAAGAGTGCTGCTTCTTTGTTCTCAGCTCTCTTTGATGCTCGTCAATCGCTTCTTGCACCTCTGCGAATGACCATTTTGTAGCAGGCTTGTATTTGAACACATTAGAAAGTCCAGTATCAGGACAGTTACGGATAAACATCATTGCAACTTCCTGTGAAATGTTATTCATTTGACTACCCTGTTTCAGCAGGTGCTTATCTGCGATTTCAGCTGCATTATTGAGACGGACCCAGTAATCGACAGGGCTTTCTCTGACAAACGGCAGTGTGGAATAGAAGTCTGCAAGTGGGAGACAAGACTCTGGGCTGTCACTGAAATAACGTAACAGTATTTCATAAATAACTTCAGCGGTAACTACTTTATCAGGTGAGCTACTACTTTTTAGTCCTACTTTGACTATGTTTTTTGCTCTACCCAACAGGTAGTTCTGAATTTCGCTGGAGTGTTCTGCTTTCGGGCAGTCACATTTCTCTAAGTATATCTCCATTAGCTCAATCCATTCCTGAACAGCAATTTTATCTGTACCATCACCACGGAAAATGGGAGGTGCCCTCTTATCAGAGCGTACAACTAAATTAAGCTTGGATAAGTCGAGTGTAGTACTCGCAAGCTCACTTTTAACTGCTGAGGGGTCAGCCTTATGCACCACATGAGGATTACGGTCAGCTAAGAGTCTGTCTAGAATGCTATCACCAATTTGGCTACCAAGCTCTTCAAGAAGCTCTGTTATTTGTACTCGGGAGTCATCAGAGACAGGAGGAGGTGTAAAAACAGCACCAGGATTAATATTTTCACCTTCACACGAATATTGCAGATTAGCATTAGGAGTTTGATCATTTTCTTTACGTCTCACCACACCATCAGTACTCATAAATCCTCTACCCCTCCCTAAGACTGGTGTAGACATGTTAAACATCTTGTAAACAGTACTGTATATTCTCAATAAAAAACACAATCAATTGGCCCAGTGTCCTAGTGATGCACTCCTATTATGCAAATGTTCAAATGAAATGAAAAAGTTCAAATGTCTAAATTCAATTGAAAACGAGTTTGTTATTTAGCAATGAAAGGCAGGATACAATGCTGTGTTGACACTCAGCAGATGACGTAGCTGCTTTGCTGAATCCGTGGAAGTCACGAAAATAGTCTCGCACGGGCCAATCCCCCGGTGATCGGCTGCGGCTGATCGGTTGGATCCTGAAAGGTCACGGCACCAGTTTTATGTAGCAGATCCCAATCTGTACATAACCAATAATCACACCGGAAACAGCAGGACAGCTTTGCGTCATGTATTTATTGGTCCCTGAAACACATGTGGGACACTCAATAAGAAACTCTCCACGCTTTCCTCTCCTTTCACACACACAATGCAAACACAATTGCAGGAGAAACTTTTACACGTCTTTCCCCGTCAGCGGCTGGACTCCGACTGAGGCTGACTGTATAACACTGTACAATAATACTCATGAAAAATATGTATTTGTTTAAATGAAATAAAAATAAAGTGAAAATAAGTGGTGTTGCTCTTTACAATTGTACTCGAAGTGCAAAATCAAATTTATATTCCCAAAAAAACAGCAATTAATGTTCTCAAACAATTAGGCTTATTCACCACGCAACACACAATTACATACAAGCAGAATTTAGATTCAGATAGTCAATTATACATTTTTTGAGAACAAGCAAAATGCTAAAACATCATAAAAAGATTCACACATAACAGTTTTACATGAAACATACCTGAAACACATGTGGGACACTCAATAAGAAACTCTCCACGCTTTCCTCTCCTTTCACACACACTGTGTACAATATTAAACTCGCATAAATCTCAGGTTTATCTCAATATTATAAACTTACTGAATAAAAACAATCCTAAACATATTTTATGCAACATTATATGAACTTCAATTGAACAGACTATATTAACATACCAATGCAAACACAATTGCAGGAGAAACTTTTACACGTCTTTCCCCGTCAGCGGCTGGACTCCGACTGAGGCTGACGCAACTCTCCCGCGCTCTCCGAGAGCAAAGCGTGCAACACTAATTGCGGTCCCACTTAAACAAGTGTCGAAATAAGGTTCCAACGCCCGGTAGGCATATAATACATAAATGAATAGTTTTTTTTAGTTTTGGGAAGTTCATTCCCGAATATTATCAAAAAAATAAACATTCCTCTTCCTTACTGGCTACAAAAGCATGATTAAAAAATACAAAAACAACAATAAATATTTAAATAAAACATCAGTCATTAACATTAACATAACATAATATAATAATCACTCAGGTGTGTGTTTACCTTTGTGTGTGTGGCTGATGATGATCTCTGAACCCTGTATCTGTGATCTTCATCTTCTTCACTGGACATCATCAGCTAAAACGCAAACGCACACATACACATACACACACACACACACACACACACACACTCAGCATCACTCATCTGACTGACTGACAGCTGTCAATCATTAGCGTCATACGGTCAACAACGCGCGTGCGCACTGGACGAACGCAAGAAAGTTCTTATGATTTGTCACAATAAGGAGCAGAA